TTAACTCCCGCCACGGGAGGAGGGATCCATCTTTTCCAGAAGGCCCTGGGTCAGTTCCTGGGGTTTCTCTACCTCCCTGGTGCTGTTTTCCAGCATCCCGAGGGCCGGGATCACAGCTGGCTCTGCCCCAGAGACACAGGCTGCAGGAGCAGAGAGCCATGCTCCCGTGGAACCACCTGGAATCCCCACCCCTGTGATTCCAAGTGCTCTGAAAGTCCTCTGAGCTGGGTCTGGAGCCAGCAGTGCTGGACCCTTTGGTGATTGTGCAGAATTCCCAGCTGCAGTGGAAGCATTCGAAGCAATTGGGAAGAGCAGAGACTGAGGGAAGGATTCCAGCCTCAGAGAGAAGCAGGGCTGGAGGTAGCACAGACTTTCCCAGTTTTCTCAGTCCAGTGAGCCACAAATGGCCACATTCCAGGGAACCCAGTCAGGCAACTCTGAGGCTCAGCTGAGCAGGGATTTGAAGCCACACTCCTGTTCCATTGGGAAAGTGGCTCCTGCTGCTGGTGCAGCGATGGGGAGCCAGGAGAACTCAGCCTCCCCCAGGGCACGGGAGCTGGCATCCAGCCAGCCTTGGCATTCCCAGTGCTCCACATCTCCCTACAACACCACAACAACCTTTGGGAGGCCCAGATCCCAAGGTCACATTGCAGACCTGGAGCCAGACACGCCAACCACAGGTGAGTCAGCAGCTCTGGGAAGATCCTGTGCCTCGCCCCAGGGCGCTCCGCGGGATTCGTCCTTAACCTCCACGATCCAGCCACCTCCATCCCCTGCGTGTGTTCTCCATAATTAAAGTTGCACTGAGAAAATAAATCCTGCTCCTCACTAATAGGATGGAGGAGGTGTTAAATTATGGCTCAGTTTATCCAAGGATTGCCCAACGCAGCTCCTGCTTTAATAAGTGCCGATAAAACATGTCAGGAAATGATTTGGGAATTAATCCCTCCTGGATGAGGCGGTGACAAACTGCTCTAATATGTTGCACTCCGGGAAGGTGCGTGTTCCTGCTTTATGAAAGGAGTTGCAAGTGGATTTAGGATTCATGGAAATAAGGGAATGATTGACAGGTGAGGGCTTAAGAGAGCCTGTGGGTGGAAGGAGAGAATTGCCCTCCCAGCCCTGCTGGCATTGCCTTCCCTTGTTCCCCACTCCCACACTTTTCCAGCCACACCTGGTGGATTCCAGCACCGTTTCTGCCCTGTGCCACCCCTGCATCCCGCTCTCCCCATCTCTGATAACCTCTGGCACGGCAGGAAATGAGTTCAGCCCCTCCAGGACCAGGCAGAGGGGATCGACCTAATTCATCCTGCAGTTGTGTTAATAACTGGAGGTTGATGCCATGAGTTCCACCTTGTCCTCACATGGAAGTGCTTCCAAGTGGTTTGAGGATCCTTGTCAAAATGCAGCCATTGAGAACTGCTTCATTTGCCAAAAAACCCCTCCTCACCGCTTTTCATCTGGGGAGAGTTTGGAATTTCCTCATTTCCCTGCTCCACTCCAGTCTCCTCTCTCTGGTGTTTGGATCACAGGATCTGTCCCAGCTCATCTGACACGGGGGATGAGTTTAGGGAGTGCAGCCCCCACCCACCCCTCATCCCCTCTCCAGACAGCCCCTGCCTGCCCCTGCACTCCTCCTCAGCAGCCTGGGATGTGCCAGGGCTGGGAAGAGCCCAAAAAGGGGGTTTTGAAGGAAGGGAGATGGGATCCGGCAAATTCCCCTCTCTCCAGGCAGGACATGGGGGTGTCCCTGCACATCCCACCCACTCCAGTCGCTGGATGCCAGGACAGGGTGGATGCCCACAGGGAGGGAAGCTGGTGCAGAGGGGACAGAGGGGAGGGGCACCCAGGCAGGACCCTCAAATCCCACTGAGACCTGATTTCCCCACTCTTCCCCATGGACCTGGTGACCCCTGTGTGCCCACCTGCCCTTCAGAGGAGTCACTCCCTCCTCATTCCCAAGCCAGGGGGAGGAGACACAGCCAGGGCAGCAGCTCCACGGCCCAGCTCATCTCACAGGAGGACATTTGAGCATTGCCTAAGCCCGTTTAAAACCTGCTCTGATCCCATAAACTCTGCCTACCTTAACTCAAATTAAAGGGAATTGGCTGGAACTGTGTCAGAGCCAAGGGGGAGTCAGTTCATCCCAGCCTTTCCCAGCTCCTTGAAATGGGGGCTTAGGGGAAAGGAGCCATCCAGGAGCTCAAAGCCTCATAATGGGGTTATGTTGCGGTGGAGAAAATGAAAGTTAAACATTAGGGAAACCTTTATAGCTCTGACAAGAGTTCAGCCAGTGGAACGCTGCAGAATTGCTTTCCCCGGAGATATCCAAGGATAAGGCTAAGCACACATCTGACAGGGATGGTTTACCAGCCTGATGTGCAGGATAAAGTGGAGCAGGTGAGCTGGGGGAGCTTTCTTCAAGCTCTAATAACCCTGGGATCAGTGCAGGGCCCCTCTGCATGGGATCATCCCAGACCATTCCTCACTTTCCACAGCCTCCCCGAGCACTTCCAGCACTAAGTGACACAGGAACAAGGCTCCCGTGGCAGGCACTCAGTGGCTGGTGCTCAGGAGAGGCTGCAGGAACTGGAGAAGCTCAGAACAAAGGAATCCCTGACAACGCCAGTCTGGGGGAATTGCTGGACCACGCGAATGCTGCCAGGAAGATTTGAAGCCTCTGCTCAGAAGGCTGCACTGCTGGAACAGCAGAACCAGAATCCAGTGTTTGAGGTTTTCTCATGAAAAGCCTTTGACAAATCCATCATCCATGGTTTTGTACCTGAGCTGAAATCCATGGAGCAGGCAGAGGGATACTGGAGCTGGGCCCTGGAGGGCTTGGAGTGGCTCTGTCCCTCCTGTCCCGGCACAGGCCCCCCCTGCCCTGGGGCTTGGTGCTTCCTGGGCCAGCAGGAGCCCCTTTGGAGAGTCAGGCTGTGCCATCTTTTGGGATGCAGGACATGGGAAGATTCCTCACCTCTGCAGAGCTGGGATGGTGGTTCCTCAGGATGCTGCCTCATTGAAACACCCAAAAAATCCTTTCAACAAGAGAGAGAGGAAAGAAGAGGAAAGAAGAAAGGATGTTTTCCAGAACCTCACAGAGGAGATGGAGGAAGGAGAAGGAGCATGGTTGGGAGCACCAGGAGGGGCCCCACCTCCATTCCCAGTAGGGATCCCAAAAGGGGAAGGGCTGGAAGGCTGACAGGCTCTCCATCCATGTCCCTGGCTCATTTGTAAGGAATTACAGATATGTGGATGAGACATTGGTTAGTGTTAAGTCAAGTGGAAGGTTTGCTCCAAAGTGATAATCAAGAGGCTCCAGGAAAGGGGAAAAGCTCAGCAGATAAGGGCAAGGATCCGAGGCCACAAGTGCTGCTGACAATGGGATGGGGATTGTGCTCAGGGATGGGGTCAGCATTTCTCTCATTTCTTCACTGTTGCAGCCTAGTCAGCCCATGGGGAACTTGGCTATTGATGTTTGCCCAGTTTCTCTTGGAATTTCACCCAGAGGAAGAGTGAGATGCGAAGGAAGTGCAGGACAAGCACGGAACAAACAGGGATCCAGCTCAGGTTCTTTCCTTTCAGGCTGCTCTGGGTGATTTCCTCCACCAACACCTCCCTGTCCCTGCTGTTCCCAGCACAGCTGGAAAACCTCTGGCCTGAGCCCGGGTGCTCTGCATCCACTCCCCATCACTGTGACCATCCAGGAACCCTCTCTTGGATTTATCCCAGTAGTGTGGCTCTGAAATTCTTGGGGAGAGAGAGGGAGGGAGGAGGAGAGAAGTTTTTGCAAGGCCAGCAGAACCCTCCCAGGACATCAAAACCTCTTGGATTCATCCCAAAACAAAACAAGATTGCTCTAATTTTCCAGCAGGCTGGAGGAGAAGCCTCCCTGCCAACCTTCCCAGCGCCAGGAGCTGGACAGCCACACTCCCCCTTCCCACATCTCCCAAGGGAAAAGGACCTCGGCTGAGAGCAGGGGCAGAGGATGGAATGCCAGAAAGATTGGCAGCAGGAAAGGGAATTTCTCCTTCATTCCAGCAATTTGATCCGTACACGTGCGGCCAGCCTGGCTTTCGGTAGCACCAGGATCTGTCAGTGGGAGAGCAGCCCCAATTCCAGCTGCTCCAGAGGCAGGAGAGGGCTCGTGTTTAATGGCTCTCATATTAGCACTTGCTATTTAATATTGCATGTTTAGTCTGCTCTGCCTGCTGCTCCCTTCAGGATCAGGTCTATCCCAAACAATCTCAGAGAGGAATCGGGTTCAAAGATGGACTCAAATTGGTTTCAGACCCGCCCAGTTAGTGCACCATTCCACCCAAAATTGGGACCAACTGGCATGGACTGGGGTCCTCGGGCATCTCAGTGCTGCTGCAGGAGACAGTCAGATCTGAGTCCAAGGTTTGGGGCTGTTCCCCATCTGGAGTCTGTGAGGGTGTGGAGGCCTTGGAGTGGATTGCCTAGAGAAGCTATGGCTGCCCCTGGATCCCTGGAAGTGTCCCAGACCAGGTTGGATGGGTCCTGGAGCAACCTGGGATGGTGGAAGGTGTCTCTGCCCATGGCAGGGATGATCTATAAGGTCCTTTCTGAATCATTCTGGGATTCTGTGACTTCTGCCTCCGGGGTGGCACCTGTTGGAGCTGCTGCTGGCAGTCTCACTTGTCTTGTCCCACCTGTGCCAAGGAGTGACACCCACCCAGACTGCAGCTCCTGCAGAAGAAACACCCCTGGCAAAGATTTCCTCCAACTTCTAAAAATAATTAAAAAACAAACCCAAACAAACAGCCCAGCAATCCCAGCATCACTGGCATCTCCTAGGCGAGGCAGGGAGGTTTAACATCAGCGTGTGTTTTATGGATCGAGAGCTCCAGACAGCTGGAAAAATAGTTAACGTTCCTGTTTGACGTGTTCCAGCCTGGTTTGGAGGGAGCAGATCCAGCAGCTGAGCTCTGCCAAGACAGGGAATCACAGGTATTTCACTGGAGAGGGAGAGCTGGAGCTGGGAACTGCAGGTTTTTAACTGGAGAGGGAGAGTTGGAGCTGGGAACTGCAGGTTTTTAACTGGAGAGGGAGAGTTGGAGCTGGGAACTGCAGGATTTAGCTGGAGAATGAGAGCTGGAGCTGGGACCTGCAGGTATTTCACTGGGGAAGGGGAGCTGGACCCTTTTGCACTGAAATCTCTGAGGTTTCTGAACACAGTGGAATCACAGGCAGGATCTGGCTCAGAGTTAAGAGATTAACCCAGTGCTTTGTGATTAGGGTATGGCACTAGCAGGAGGAAATACCTGGATTTCAGGGCATACCTGGATTAAAGGACAAGAGTTAGGGTGAGTGTGCAGTGTCCAGGCCCTTTCTGTCTTCCCAGCTCGTGCTCTGGGATGCACCAAGGCTCCTGGCACCACCCACCAGGAGAATCCAGCCTGGTTCTTCCTCAGCACAAACTCTTCCATGCAGAGAAGGACATCCCACCTGGAAAAAGACACCAATGGCTCACAGGTCACTCAGCACACTCCTCCTCACAGCCCAGGGGTTGGCAGAGCCACACCTATTTTTCCTGGCCTAAATGAGGAGCAGGGTAACCCTAAGGTGACCCCAGATGCCTGAGGTGACCTATTCACCCAGAGAGCCCTTGGAGCCACCTGAGCCCAGAGCTCCACAGACACCCCGGAGCCAGGGCTGGTGGGGCAGGATTAGGATCCAAAATATCCCAAAATATCCTTGCTGGGCCTCCAGCGTGGTGTCACTGCTGCCACAGGGCTCAGCTGGGGGACAGCTGTGAGGGCAGAACAGGATGAGTCCCGGCTGGGTGGCTCTGAGCATCAGCCAGCTCCCACTTGAAATGTAAAATTTGGGACAGATCAGGCACTGTGGGAATGGCTTTTTTTTGGTCTAATCCAGTGTCTAGATCCCATTTGGAGTAAGGAGGAGGATGGGGGAGATTGAGGTACAAGGCACCTTCCCACCTCTCTGCACAGGTAAGTGATTTATGTTTCTACAGGGGATGCCCAGTGCAGGACAGGAGGGATCCTGGGGCAGGAGAGATCCTGGGATGGGAGAGAGATCCTGGGGCAGGAGGGATCCTGGGGCTGGAGGGATCCTGGGGCAGGAGGGATCCTGGGATGGGAGAGAGATCCTGGGGCAGGAGGGATCCTGGGATGGGAGAGAGATCCTGGGGCAGGAGGGATCCTGAGGCAGGAGGGATCCCAGGGCAGCAGGAATCCTGGGACAAGAGGGATCTTGGGACAGGAGGGCTTCCAGGACAGGAGGGAACCCAGAGCAGCTGAGCACAGGCTTTGTACAGAAGGGTTTGGGCTGTTCCCCACCTCTCCTTTGGGTGACAGATCTGCTGTGGTGGCATTTCAGCTGCTCCTCCCACTGTTCCTCGGGAGTCAGGCTTGGGAATTGATCCAGCTGGAAATCATCCTGGTGAGAAAAAAAAAATAATAGCTGATGAGGTCTGATCTTGAAGAAAAGAGAGAGGGGAGGCCCTGGCACACAGATTGCCCAGAGAAGCTGTGGCTCCCGCATCCCTGGAAGTGTCCAAGGCCAGGTTGGATGAGGTTTGGAGCCACCTGGGATAGCGAAAGAGGGGTGGATTGGGATGAACTTTAAAGCCATTTCCAACCCAAAGGATCTTGTGATTCCATGATTCTATTCTGTCATCAAGTGCCTGACCCAGCTTTGCCTGCTCACATTCTGCTGCTGCTGTAGGGAGGAGGGGAGAGGGGCTGGGGACTGGAATAGGTGGGATCAGCACTTCCAGCAAGGAGCGAAGTCAGCCCTGTGGGAGCAGATTCCAGCTCTGGCTCCTGCTCCAGGCTGCATTTCCTCAGCCTTGAGTGGAGAGGGAGGTGACCTGGTGAACTCAGAATGTCCCACGGCCTCCAGCCCTGCTCCTTCACGCCTGCCACTGCCACCAGCCCTGCAAGGACACAGCACGAGGAGAGGGAGCACAAGGGTGGAATCTGTTATCATATCAAACAACGTTCCTCGAGCAGCAGCGCAGGGCAAATCAAGGCTTGGATAAAAGGCACAAAGCGCCTGCAAAGCCTGGTTTAAAATAACCCTTGAAGTAGGAAGCAGCAGCATGAATCATGGTGCATCGCAAACAAGGACGGGATGTGTTTAATTTCCAGTTTATGAAGGCAGTTTTATTTATTTATGATTCTGCTCCAATGTTTAGCTTATACACAAAGTCATGACTCACTGCTGAAGGAGCTCCAAGTCCTCTTTGGAACAGCACATTTCCTCCTTGAGGAAATGACACAAACCCATTCTGTCCCATCAGCTGAGCAGCACAGGAGGAAGGAGCAGGAGGCATCAGGAGACTTCCCTGCCACCAAACCTGCTTGTGGGACCCATCTTCCTGTTGGTAGGAAACTTCTGTGGGCAGAAAACTCCCGGGTTGTTCCCTGACTGTGCTGGGAAAAGTGTGTCAGCAGCAGAGCTGGGCCCCAAGGCTGCAGAGCTGTCCCTTGACACATCAACAGCTGTGCCACCAGCAGGGCAGGACAGGGATTCTGGGACAAAGCAGCCTGGTTTTGCTGGAGTGGATCAAATCTGCAGGCTCTGGATACAAGGTCCATCCTCCTCGGCTCAGTGGGAGCGGGAAGTGCCCCATCACTGCCCGGTGCTGGAGTCTGTACACAGCCCTGTGGCCTCAGAGCACTCCTTGTCTGCTGAATTTGCAACAATTAATCCCATGATTTCCCTGCTAATTAAACTTCTCCCTTTGGAAAAATGATATTTTAATGAAAATTAATGAGGTCCTGGCACAAAGATGATCCTTCCCCTGCTCTGTGCCATGGATCCAGGATGTGTCCCAGCAATGTGATCCACTGGGCTGAGCCCACTTTTCCCAGCCTTGTTCCCACCTCTTTGACCACTCTCTGGCTTCTCTGGGAGCACATCCTACTCACAGGTCCTGTGCAGTGTCAGGGATGTGTTTCCATGGCTCTGGATGTGTTCCTGAGGATGCTCAATGTCCATTGCGCACTTCCAGCTCTCTGCTGAGCAGGAGAGGCTGTGGCTGCTGGCAGGGATGAGGGTGGACTTGGAGAGTCTGGAGAAGGGCTGGGATGAAGCAGCAGAGCCCAGGAATTCTCAGGATGGGTTTGGTGAAGGGCTGCAAAGCCTTCCTCTCCCAGGGACGGAACCATCGGGAGCTGCTTAAGGCAGGGGGTGGCTCCGGGACAGCACAGAACCCAGGTGGGAGGAGGACATGGAAGGAAGGACATGGAAGTGAGGACATGGAAGTGAGGACGTGGCAGTGAGAACTGTAATGGCAGTGGGGACATCACAACCAGGACCGCCAAGCAATCACTGTTTTCCTTTTCTTTTTCCCAAAAGCGAGGCAACGGAGCCAGCAGCACCATCCCCCACAGGAGCATCCAGGACATCCCCAGCCCGGTCACTTCCCGGCCCGGTGGCCCCGAGCGGCTCGCTGGGGGTGGGAGGGAGCCGTGACAGCCCCGAGCAGCGCAATCAGCCGCTATTTACGGCCGATTATCTCAGCCCTGCTCCAGCTCCCCGATAATTCCCAGAATTAGCCGGCGCGCTTTGTTCGGGAGTGTTTTTGTCAGATATCTTGGACTACAGGCAAGGGGGGTGGGACCCAGGTGGGGGGAGCAACAGGCAGCGCTGAGTGTTTACAAGTTCCCAAGCAGGAACTACAAGGCTAATTAATTTCTCATTAAGGAAGAAGTCGAAAGATAAAGAAGCAGAAACCTCGAGCTTTGGGAGATGCTGCGGATCCAAAGACATGCACACGCATCTCTCCCTTTTATCCCTGGGAATGAGGCCCCTTTCATACCCCAAACACCTCGTTTCCTGCTCTTCCCTTTATCCCCAGCTCTCCCCTTCCCAGAGACAGTCGGGATCACCCCAGCCCCAGGTGTCATACAGATATGGGGGATTTTTCTGGGGGGAAAATGCACAGAATTTCAGTGTTACAAGGCAACAGCAGATGGGATCTTATCCCAGAATTCCCAGAATGCATTTGCATCCCTGGAAGTGTCCAAGGCCTGGCTGGACAGAGCTTGCAGCACCCTGGGACAGTGGGAGGTGTCCCTGCCCATGGCAAGGGTGGAACTGGATGAGCTTTAAGGTCTTTTCCAGCCCAAAGCATCCAATTTTATTATGATCCACATTTTGGGCACCATTGGAACTGCATCCATCTCCCTGGGGCACCACCCAGCCCCATCCTTCCCAGCTGCCAGCTGTGAAATGGGGTCCCAGGAGAGACAAAACAGGGTTTGCTGCTCCCCCACTGCGGAGATCCAGGAGGAGCTCAGGACTCTTCCCAGGTGGTGCCATCTCTGTTCCTGCCACTTCTGTAAAGTCAGCAGAGAGAAGAACTCCAGAATCTTCCCATGGCTTCCAGGAAAGTTGCCTGCTCAGATTTCCTTGGCAGTTGTGCCAGCTCCAGGACAGTTTCTTTCAGTAAACAGGGGGAGCTTGAAGGGTGAACGGAATGGGAAACCTGAGAAGAGCCAGGTACATCCCCATTGCTGGGTGGGGTTTGGGTGCTAAAACAGCACCCAGGGGTCTGGAAGCCTGGATTCCATTTTAGCTGAGATAATTTCCTGTCCTCATGGGAAGATCCAAGCCCAGGGTGAGCTCCCAGGAGCAGGCAGAGCTCTGTCCCCTCTGCTGGCCATGGGACAAAGTCGGGTCACCACCAGCAGCCCCCAAAGCTGGTGACAGGAATGGGTCACCCAGCAGGCACTGACCCCACAATCCAGCCCAATCTCACCACTCCAGTTTGGCCAGGGAAAAAGAAACTCTTTCCCAAGTTTTGTTTGGCTCTGCAATTGCCAGCTCTCCGTGAGCCCCAGCTCCTGTGCTGTGGCTGGAGGCCCTGGGCTGCCACAGGCACTTCCACCAGGCATCTTTCTCCTGGAGGATTTGCTCCAAGCCATTGATTTTAAATCCTGGGAAAATTGGCCCATTTGCTGTGTTCACGGAGTGTGTATTTTATAGGATACCTTGTCTCAAAGCCATTAACCAAGCAAACATTACATTTTATAATCAAATAACAAATCAGAAATAATGGAGATGTGTTTCCTACCTGCAGTGCTCGGAATGCACCAGGGTAAGGGGTGAGTCCTCAGGGTGGAGAGGAGCTGGAGATGGGAGGGTTCTCCTGGAATGAGGGAGCTTCTCATACATGAGCTTCTCCTTCCTGGGTGTCTGGTGGGGAGGAATATCCATCAGCAGGGCCAGGGGTGCTGCCAGCCCCGGGCAGAGGGAAGGACTGCAGAGCTTTCCCCTCCCCACAGCCCTCAAAGCTCACGAGTGCTTGTGCAGAACTCATGAAATTCTTTCTCCTCTCTGCTTTACAGGAGGGATTTTTTTTTTTCTTCCCCCAGCTTGGAATTCAGTTAGCAGCCGTTTTCCTGCAGAAAGTGCAGGAATTGGCCGGCGTTGGAGGGGTGCAGCCCTTCCCCGCTCCCCCAAGGTGCTGGGGGAAATCCCACAGTTCATTTTTCCTGGCTGCAGAATGCCTTTTCCTTTGCATTCTTCAGCTCGCAGGTACTTCATCACCATGTTTCCTATTCACATGTCTGGTCATTTCACTCGTGTCAGGGCTCCTTAACTAGGAAATATCAAGATGTTTTCACCCTGGAAAGCTGGGAAGCGTGTAATTAGCCACCCAGGTAATAAATTACCTGTGCTGGCGACAGCCCACTGGGGAAACCTTTATTCTCCATCTCATCCTATTATGCTGAGCCAATTTAGCACATCTGTAGTTGTTTTAAAATAGTCATTTCAATGGACTCTGAGAAAAGGAGGCTTATTAACAACTTAGCTGCCAGGAGGAAAATGGGAGGGACAGCAGCTGCCATGGAGAGAGAAGTTTGGTCCTGGCTGGAGAACAAATCCTGCTGTGCCTCCAGCCCTTTTCTCAGACCACAGCATGACAAAGCTCTGGGGTCCTCCTACGGCCTTCCTGGAGCCCCCAGACCAGAGGGGGCTGGTGAATGTTTGGCCATGGATGTGGGAGAGGAAGGGGGGATTTGGGCTCCTTCAGTCACCCCATTGCTGAGCAGCTCCTTGTCCCGCCCTTCCCTGCTTCCCCCTGCACAGGACAGTGGTGGCACTCAGCTGGGGAGGTCCCCAGATGTCCCCAGCTGGCAGAGCTGTCCCCTGTGGCTGCTCATCCACGGCTCAGGGCCCCCGGGCTCTGTTCCTTCGGGAAATCCATCCAGGCCTGGCTGGGAGGGGCTCTGCAGGTGAGAGCTGGGGTGGGCAGCTGAGTGCAAGTGCAGAGCGCTGCAGGTGTTTGTGCTGGGAAGGAGGGAACAGCTCCAGCCTGGAGGGAGAGCAGGGAACTGATACCTCGTGTTCACAAACCCAGCTGGTTCCCGGCTCCAGCGCTGCAGAGCCGCGCTCCCGATGCACTTGGTCGGTGTTTGGGGTGGGATCACTCTCCTGAAGCTCACGTGGAACAGCCACAGACATGGAGGGGCTGGAAAGTGTCTGTCAGAGCTGGTATGTGCTGGGACAGGCCCTGGGTCACCCCCAGCCCAGCCCAGGAATCACAGGACGAGCCTTTTTTGCTGCTTTGTTCCGCAGAGCTCCAGCTCCTGGTGTGGATGCCAAGGGAAAAGCAGGAGTTCTGGGCTTTGGCACAGCCCCTGAGTGCATGAAACTGCTCATTTCAGCCTTTCCTCCTCATTCTCTTCCCCATCCATCATCGCAGCCCTGTTGGACACCCTCCATCCCTGCTGCACTGGCCGGGACTCTCTGGAGAGCTGAGTGTGAACTCAGTGCCTGGGGCAGGAGCGAGTTCCTGCTGGGAACCTCCCCATCCCTCCTCCAGGCTCCATTTCATTCCCTCCCGACGCTGCTCTGGGATAATTCCCGGCTGTAGCTGGATGAGGGGGAGTACACATCGTTTTTAAGCCAAGTCTAAGTGACAGAAGAGCCCTGAGCCACACTTAAAATCCCAGGCAGATGTTCTGGGACATCAGCACCCTCCCTGCACCTCCATCAGGGAAGAGCTCAGGCTTTCCCAAGCACCTTTCCTTGGCTCTGAGCCCCTTCCATCCATGCACAGCTGAGCTCCCTTGTCATGGATTCATGGACTGCTTTGGGTTGGGAAGGACCTTAAGGATCACCTCATTCCAACTCCCTGCTAGACAGGGAACGATTGTTCCCTGAAAGGTGGCTGTGGCCAGGTGGGCTTGGTCTCCTTCACCAGGCAGCAGCTTTCCCAAGCACCTTTCCTTGGCTCTGAGCCCCTTCCATCCATGCACAGCTGAGCTCCCTTGTCATGGATTCATGGACTGCTTTGGGTTGGGAAGGACCTTAAGGATCACCTCATTCCAACTCCCTGCTAGACAGGGAACGATTGTTCCCTGAAAGGTGGCTGTGGCCAGGTGGGGTTGGTCTCCTTCACCAGGCAGCACTGACAGAAACAGAGAACACAGCCTGAAGCTGCATCAAGGGAAATATAGGTTGGATATTAGGAAAAAGTTTTTCATGGAAAGAGTGATAAAGTTCTGGAATGGCTGCCCGGGGAGGTGGTGCAGTCACCATCCCTGGGTGTGTTTAACAAAGCCTGGATGTGGCAGCAGGGAACTGATACCTCGTGTTCACAAACCCAGCTGGTTCCCGGCTCCAGCGCTGCAGAGCCGCGCTCCCGATGCACTTGGTCGGTGTTTGGGGTGGGATCACTCTCCTGAAGCTCACGTGGAACAGCCACAGACATGGAGGGGCTGGAAAGTGTCTGTCAGAGCTGGTATGTGCTGGGACAGGCCCTGGGTCACCCCCAGCCCAGCCCAGGAATCACAGGACGAGCCTTT